ACTGACTGCTGGCTGCTACCGCGAGTGGCTAAGTGCCGCGGCTCGCGGCAGGCGCATGCACTGGCAGCTGGTGCTGCCTATCTGCCAACACGCTGCTGCCGCTATGTGCGGGCAGCGTGTCCATAACCGGCCTTCACTAGCCATCCGTGAATACCTTCGGCAACCATGACATCAAACAACGTAACATGACTTAAAATGAACAATATACTGAATTTACATGAAAATGCTGAACTTAGTTCAATGGACCAAATACATGGTCGTGGTGCGCTCGCTATGTGCGAGGCTTACGGCTTATGGCCAATTCCTCGGTCAAACATGAAAACTTCTCGAACAACATGAGCCAACTGAACATAAAATGACCTAACTTGATCATTTAAACATCAATTGTTCGAACGAACTTGATAATAACAAAAGATAACACGGTGCGGCCGTGACGCGCACACCACGTGCGGTCCTTGGCTTTAAGCCAAATTCTCGACCGAACTTTTATTTTACTCACCAATTCCCACTTGACTGAACATGATACACTTAATAAGGGCTGGAGAAACATTAAACACTCGGGACTTGCTGGAATAAAATGGAAGTACTAACATATCCTTACGGCTTTTGTTTTTAATTTGAAGGAAATTCCATAATTCCACACGGCTTTGATGATTAATTGATGATTAAGTGCTAATTAATCCCTTTCCTTATGTTTAATTATTTAATTAAATATAATGCTTAATCACCAAAATTATTCTGAACGTACACGGTACGTCGAAAATAAATTTCGGTAATCTCGACTGAAAATAATTAATTCCGAAAATAATAATCGATAATCATTATTATATCGGAACTAAAACATACTTTATACTGATAAAATATCGGGATATTACAAAGTGTCTGAGAAAAAGATCTTTGGAAATTGATAGTATGAATCTTGAGGTAGAAGAGATGCAAAAATCTGAAGCAAAAAAATCCAAAACTGACAACACACTAGCTCTTTCTTTGGTGGAGGCAACCAGCCATAACTGGTCCCCAAGTGGCCAATGAAAGTATGTGTGTGGAACTGTAGAGGTCTGGGGGGACCCTCTACAGTTTCCCAGGTAAGAGAGACCCTTAGGGCTCACCTTCCTGATTTTCTCTTTTGTCTGAAGTTAAAAAAAAAAAGAAAAAATTTGTAGAAAATGTTTGCAAAAATCTCAAAATGAATGATAGATGGGTTTATGAAAGTCCTGTAGGTAGGAAAGGAGGTCTGCTTTTATGTTGGTCTACTAGAGTGTCCATTATTGATATTGTTAGTTTGGATTTCTGTTTTGAAGTTAAATTCCAGATGTGTGGGCAGGAGAAAATTTTTCACTGGTGTGTTTCTCTATGCTAACTCTGATTACCAAATTAGGAAATGCCAATGGGAAACCTTGATTAGACATAGCCTCTCATGGGGGGAGCTGTGGTTCTTGGGTGGGGATTTTAATGATATCCTTTCTAATTTTGAGAAAAAAGGAGGTTGTCCTAGAGATGAGTCTAGTTTCAAAATGTTCAGGGATTTTGTGCATGCTATGGGGATGGTTGAAACTAGAACTGTAGGTAATCCTTTTACCTGGACTAATAATAGGATGGGTAGTGGTTTTGTTGAGGAAAAGCTTGATAGAATATTCCTCTCTCCTGAGCTTAATATTCTTTTCCCAAATTCTCTGGTTAAGCACATTCCGTTGATATCCTCTGATCATCATCTGCTGGCTCTTAATCTTCATGGGGTTGATTCCCCTAGAAAGAGGAAATTTGTGTTTGACACTAGATGGGTCAAAAAGGGAGAGTTTTTTGAAGTTGTGGATAAAGGGTGGGTTGTTCCAGTTCAGGGATCCGGCTTGATTAGTATTCACAGGAGATTGCTTAATGTTAAAGATAGTCTTTTAGCTTGGAAAGGTAAAACCCAGAGTAACTCTGCCTTAGCTGTGACTTGTCTCAAGGATAAAATTTCTGATCTTGAGGCTTTAGGGGACAATAGGAATTGGGCTGAGTGGGATAACTGTAGACTTCTCTTACATCAAGCTTATAAAGATGAAGAAACTTTTTGGAAGCAGAAGTCTAGGGTGGTTTGGCTGAATGAAGGAGATAGGAACACTAAGTTTTTTCAGGCTAGTGTTAGACAAAGGAGAGCTACTAACTCCCTAGATAATCTTAAAAGAAGAGATGGGAGTAGATGCACTTCTGAGCTTGAAACTGTGGAGGAACTCAGTAGGTATTTTAGGGAGCTTTTTACTTCCTCTAATCCCATTGCTGAGGGCTGCAATCTAGAAGGCATACCTGCTTCTATTAATGAGGATATGAACAATAGATTAACTAGAGAAGTTAGTGATTCTGAAATTGAGAAAGCTGTGATGGATATGGATCCTCTGAAAGCTCCTGGGGGGGATGGGTGGAATGCTTCATTTTTTTCAGAATTCTTGGGATATCATTAAATGTGATTTGTGCATTGCTGTGAAAAATTTCTTTCATAATGGGATTATGCCTAAAACTTTGAATCACACTGTCATTTCTCTTATTCCTAAGAAGAAGAACTCTGAAAAAGTTGAAGACTTTAGACCTATTAGTTTATGTTCTGTGGTGTATAAGATTATTTCCAAGATTATTGCTAACAGACTAAAAATGGTTCTTAATATTTGTATCTCTCCCACTCAATCTGCTTTTGTTCTTGGTAGACAATTAATTGACAATGCTGTAATTGCCAATGAGTGTATACACTATCTTAATAGCAAAAGGAAAGGTAAAGACAGTTATATGGCAACTAAACTAGATATGTCCAAGGCTTATGATAGAGTGGAGTGGGATTTTTTGTTTAGAGTCTGTAGTAAAATGGGTTTAAGTGACAAATTTATTTCTTGGATTCTTGCTTGCACTTGTTCTGCCACTTTTGCTTTCAATGTGAATGGTCAATCCCTTGGTTTTGTTCAACCCTCTAGAGGTTTGAGGCAGGGGGATCCTCTTTCCCCCTACCTCTTCATTATGATTACAGAGGCCCTCTCTAATCTGATTAAGCAAGCTACTGTTAGATCTGAGTTTCATGGTATTAGAATTAGCAAACATTCTTCTGTCATCTCTAATCTATTTTTTGCTGATGATTCTATCATTTTTTGTAAAGCCAACATCTCTCAAGCTAGGCTTATCCTGAATATCCTTGATGAATATGGTAGGGCTTCTGGTCAATTGGTTAATATGGAAAAATCTTCTATTTGCTTTTCTAAAAACACCCAGCATGATTCTATCAGTGAGATCTGCAGTGTGATGAATGGGATTTCTAGAGTGCATTCTGCCAGATACTTGGGCTTACCTTTAGGTATTGTAAAAAACAAGAGAGAAATTTTTGCTTTTGTGAGTGAAAGAGTCAAACAGAGAGTTTGTAGTTGGAAAAATGGGTTTCTGAGTGAGGCTGGTAGAGAGGTCCTGATAAAATCAGTTCTAAATGCTCTTCCAACATTTGTTATATCATGTTTCAGAATACCAGTAGCCAATTGTAAGACTATTTGTGCTGATATTGTTAAATTTTGGTCGGGACAAAGAGGAGATGAAGATAGGAAAATCCATTGGTCAGTTTGGGACAATTTGACAAAACCCAAGGAGCAGGGAGGTCTTGGTTTCAAAAATCTCAGACTGTTTAACGAGGCTCTGATTGTTAAACAGTTATGGAGATTGATCACCAAGCCAAATCTGTTGGTTAGTAAAGTTTTGAAGGGGAGGTATTTCTGGAATCAAAATCTAATGGATATCTGTTGCAAGAATGCTGACTCTTGGCTGTGGAGGTGTTGGATGAAGGCTAGAGAGTCCTTGAGGCTAGGAATGAGGTTCAGAGTTGGGGATGGGAAAAATATTAACATCTGGAAATCACCATGGATCCCAAATATGCCCCTATTTATACCTGCTACCCATTTCCCATGTGATAGAGCTAGATTGCAGAAGGTGGAGGATCTCTTAAGGAAAGATGTTTGTGAATGGGATGAGGATTTAATTCTCCAATCTTTTACTCCAGTTGAAGCTGAGGCTATCCTCAAGATACCTTTGAGTCATAGTGGTCAAAAAGATAAACTTGTGTGGAATTGGCATGTGAAGGGTGAACTTACTGTTAAGTTTGTTTATGACTATCTGGTGCAATGGAGTGATAGGGATAAAGTTGGTTCTAGTACTTTGAATTCACTGTTAAAACAGATGTGGAGAACCATTTGGAGTTTGCCTATTAAAAACAAAATAAAAAATTTCCTTTGGAGGTGTTGGGGTGGTTACTTGAGCACTGGGGTGCAGTTGCAGAAGAGAGGATTAAGGGGGGATATCTGGTGTCCTATCTGTGGAGAGGAAAAAGAGGATATTGATCATATTTTGTTCAAATCCCAAAGAGCTCAGACTTGCTGGAAACTTGTGGGAATTACTTGGCAAAGTTTGCAGAATAGAAATGGCAATTTTAAGAACTGGTGGTATGAACTGTGCTCTAAGGGAAACATGGCAAACTTGAGTGATAGAATCAGTCTTTCATGCTACCTTCTCTAGTGGCTTTGGAAGACCAGAAATGGATGGCTATTTGAAAAAGTTTGTACTTCTGAGGCTGTAACTGTCAAGAGGGCTTGGGAGGATTGGGCTGAGTTCACTGCCAGTTTAGAAGGTAAGAATAATTGGAATAGGCAGGCAGATGGACAAAATCTAAGCAGAATTACAAGGGAAGAAGATGCTGAGATGCTGGGAGTAGGGCAGGCTATTATAGCTGTCAGTGCTCTATCTACTTCTTTTGGTAAACTGAAAATGGTTGAAGGAATTATGAAGGAAGGAGTCTTGGCACAGAGATGGGCTGAAGTGAGGAATGCTGCTGGCACTAAAGAGGAGAACAAACTTCTAGCTGTGAGATGGATACTTGAACAGGCAGCCAAATCCAACCTTCAGTCCATTACTTGTTGTGTTGATGATAAGAATCTTGTTACAAAGCTGCAAAATCAAGACTCCTTTAACTGTGCTTATAATATTGTAGCAGAAGACATTTTTTTCTGTTATTTCTTCATTCCAGTACTGTAACTTTGTTTATAATGTTAATGTTGGCTCTTTATGTAAGGTAGTAGCCGAGGAGGCTGTTGAGGGGAGGTAGATGTTGGCCTCCCCGTGTGAGTGTTAGGTTTCTAGTTTCTAGATTCTCTGCATTAGTAGTCAGTGGACTTATCGATTGTACTGTGTTTATTGAGTTTTTAATATGAATTTCTTTGTTTGTGGAAAAAGAAAGAAAACAATGCCAAGAACAAAACAGTCCAAAAAATAGCGATACGTAATAACAGGGAGACGGTGTTTAGTAACACCCTTAAAAAAATCCAGGTTTACAGCACAAAATACTTGATCTTTGTCCCGTCCGGTTTAACAAACGTGTCCTTACATAACCAAAATAGTAGAACCAAATAAGAAGTGGTAGTTTACTTTGCGTGGAGTGTAGTTGGATTAGATGTTTGAGGCCTTTCCTTATGCCAACTGGAATCTGATTGGATTCGCCTCATCCGTAAATCTGGATAAGATGTCAATACCCAACAATTATAACCTAAATTTCTATTCGCCTCAAACCCTCAACCATGGCCTCCCCA